AGGCTGATTATCTTTTGTAACAATCAAGACAATGGACTATCTGTTAGGTCTTAGTGATTTATGTACTTGGATGCATGGGAGCACCACAACCTGTAAGGTTCCCTCAAAGCCACACACAGTCTTGACTTGAAACTATATGGTCATCCCTTCACTGTTACTGGTTAAAATCTTGCAACTCCTTTGCCAACAGTTTCATGGGGTACCTACACCACATGACCAGTAGTGATTCAAAAAGGCAGCTTTCAAGGGCAATTAGAAATGAGAAACAAATGCTGGCCTAGCCAACATTGCTCATACACCACAACAGAATTAATAAAGAAACTTGTTCTTCCATCACTTCTAGTTTCTCACCAGTTAAGGAATGCTGTGATTTATCTTCGAGTCCAATGTAGATGACTTCATACTTGCTGTCATTGAACTCTATTCAGCTTTGTTTTATGCAACCTTCTGGTCCCATCTACATTATTTTATATGATATACACACTTGGATATTTGAATCCTCATTAACACAGTGCCTTTCTAGCAGCACCACACAAACCTACCTCACCTCACTGGAGGAGACAGCACTAGAAGTGGTGTTACAAAAATGAATTACTGACTCCGTTCCTTCAGATGACTTGTTAAAAATATGCAGCAAATGTGAAATCTCAGAAAAAGCTTCTGGAAAACATCACTTTACACTTTTAGCCAATAAGATAAATGTACCCATTACTTCCATTTTCTTTCAGTTTAGTTTGGACAATCTCTAATTCAGCGTATTTCTCATCCTCAACATGAGTCCAAAAAAGCTGCACTTTGTATAAACATTGGACACCCTGTGCCATTACCAACCTGCTAAAGGCCAGCAAACTGTTTACTCACAGAATTTTGCTTTCTCTATAAAACAGTCACAAGATTAAGTGCAAAATCAAATCCAACTTTTGCATTTCTTTGAAGAGACACATCCACATGATGACGAGGTCATGAATAAGAAGTCACCAGAAAGTAAGCTGCAGATGCAAACTGATACCCTTACCTTCATAACACAGCATGCTTAAGTTACAATGCCCTAAACCTGTCTCAATTACAACACTTTCCTGTTTGCTAGTCATTTCTGGCCTCTTATTCTTCTCTTCTCCATTTGCAGCCATTAGTTATCATTACCAACCATTTTCAAAGACAGAAGACAGAAAAGAGATAAAGTAGAGATTAAAGGGAGAAAGAAGGTATAAGAGGAGAAGAGGAGCAAAAACATAAAGTGAGGACAGAGGAACGAAAAGGTACAGAGAAAACATTAACAGTTGGTGAGAAACCATGCAAGTACTTTTCTTTCATAGTACCATTATTTGGAGATCAAAGTACACAACTGAAACTTTCAAAGGCACTCAGAATTGTTCGATGCCTGCATCAAAAGTCTCACCCAGTATCAATAACGATGAGTATTCCTAGGAACAACCAGTAAGGCATCTTCCGAGTAATTAATTTGTCTACATAACCCGAGGCCTGAACTGGGTTTGGAACTTTCACAAGTACTTTCTATTCATTAGCTGTACACCCATAGCTGTTTATGAAAACCAACTATTAAAAGGTTGACAGACATGTGATTTAGTGAAACAAGACATTATCCAGAAAGTAACCCCAAGCATTTTTGTAAAAAAAAACTGACAATTTGAAAATAATTTTTTTAAATTTAAAGAAAGAGCCTTCATGCCTAATTACTTCTTACTTTGGTTACACCCTCAGCTTGTGCCTCTTGTACTTACTATGTTATTCCAGTCATTTGGTTTGTCTCCAGCACCACCTAATTTTTAATTTTTTTGTAATTCTCTCTCTGGCTCATTTAAATCGAATTATAGGTCACCCTTCACTTGTTATTCAGCTATTGATGCTTTACTCATACTGTCTGACACCCTTGATCACCTGCGGAGACCTATTGTCGACACTCCACTCTCACTATCCATATGATCTTTTGACCTCGCTGCTTAGAAATTCTGTGCCTGTGTGCTTCCCCCTCACTTCACCTGACAAAGGGGCAACACTTCGAAAGCTCAGGATTTCAAATAAACCTGTTGGATTTATAACCTGGTGTTGTCTAACTTCTGGCCTTGTCTACCCCAATCCAACACCGGCAACTCCACATCATGACTAAGTGGGTAAAGGTATTATACTGGTGTGGCAAATAGCCATACAGGAAAAGGATATTATACTTCCATCTTCTAATTGTATCCATTCAGCTGAAACTTGCTAGGCTGGTAACATCTACTACAATAGCTTGGGGAAGAATACTGGAAATACACAAATTGGGGTTGTCCCTGCTCCTGAACAGTGGGACTTGTTAGAAACTGTCTAATGTTGGTCAAGTCAATGAAGAATTGGTATTGGCAGAAATTTTGCTGCATTTTTCCCTATTATTTTGACTCACTACAAAATCAATACTAAGTAACTACCATTCCAAAAGGGAGCAATAATTGGTACATAAAAATAACATTCCATAGGTGTAGGAAAGTTCCTTACTACACTGCAAAAGGAGAAATTGAAGTGAATGAACTATGGTCAGACATTCCGTGCCATCAGTGATTGACGCTCAGTTCATAGGAGAACCACCACTGGAGGCAAAGAAAGAGGCAAATTCACATTTACACATTAAACTCCCAACACCATGATTGTAAACAAAACTATGCAACTGGTCCCTGGATCTAATTCAGAGCCAATACTGCCAGGATGTACGCAGCACAAGTTGGGTTTTCAGTTGTTGCTGGGTCAGGAAGAGATATAGATGTGATTTGGAAATTATATTGCCAGGCAAAGGTACTGGATCCCACTAACTTAGAACATGACAATTTTAAAAATGTGGCAGGGGTGGGGAGAAGAAGGAGAAAAAGTAAATAGGAAACCGACCACACCCAAGAAATGGCCCATGAAACTTCCTGAGGAATTTGTTAATGCCCAGAGTGGGCAAGAGTGTAATTTTCAAATGGTGAAATTAAAAAAAAAACTGAAATGTCTGTTGTTGATATCAATGCAGGTGGAAGATAAAAATTATTTTTGATATTGAGAAGTTTCAGGAGCCAAGGAATCATGCACAAGAACATGTGCTTCCATGAGATTGTTGGCCTTGGTAAAGCTGTCTTTCTCTTAAACAAAAATCCAAAGATGTGCAGGCTAGGTGGATTGGCCATGCTAAATTGCCCATAGTGTTCAAGGATGCCTAGATTAGAGGTGGCGGGGGGATGGTCTGAGGGTCAGTGTGGACTTGTTAGGCCAAAGGGCCTGTTTCCACACTGTCGGGATTCTATGATATCTATGAAAACTACACCACAGCTGCTGTCTGACTTTCTACTCTTACTCTGCAGGCAGATCCTACTGGCTGGTTATGCTCAATGTAATGGGACACTGAGCTCACCTCAGGCCCAATTAGGGCACATTACATTTGAAGATGGCATTAAGAAGAGTGTCACGGGTTCAGGACCTGGAAATAATTAGGTTCCCATTCTGGTTTGCAAATAAAGCATATAGCATCAGAAAAATTACAATAAAAATGCACAGCATTTGGCTGAGCAGGATTCAGTTGGCCAAAAAAAAGTTAGCCACTTTAATTCCATTTTCCAGCTTTTGGTCTGTGGCCTTGTGGCAACAGAGCGTGCGTTTTGAAGATTATTTTTTAAAAAGTTAAAATATATGCCTGTGCCATTATCAGGCTACAAGAAGAAGACCCCTAACATTCTCAGCAGAAAATATTAAACCTCAACACCCCTCCAACAAATGTAATTTCCAAATCACATCTACATCTCTTCCTGACCCAACAACAACTGAAAACCCAACTTGCGCTGTGTACATCCTGGCAGTATTGGGTCTGAATTAGATCCAGGGACCAGTTGCATAGTTTTGTTCACAATTAAATATTCAATATCTGGGATATACTTTACTTAACCAAAATTGAAGAAAAATTATCTAACACCCTAGTTAATACACTAGGCATTGACAGGGACAGCAATCCAGCAGCATGCACTAGTTCTACTACCTGGACCCCATGGGCATACACAGCTCTTGTGCTCAACTTCAATACACTATGCAACATGTTTATTGTTGAATATAATTTATGACATACTGATAGAGTCAAAATACAAATACAATTCAACTAATGTCCTTCCTATCGTGGCATCGTTTACATGAAGAATCTTTCTGGGACAGTCCAAAGCTTATATTTTGTAAAACACTGGCCTGGACTTCTTGATCTACACTATCGGGGTAGAGACTTCCGTGCAGTGTCTGCTAATATAATAGTACTTTCCCCAGGTTATGTGTCATTTTACCAGATCACAATACTCGACAGCATTTGAAATGGTCGCTTCTCACGAATGACCATGGGTGCACAGCGAGTAAATCGAAAGTCTGGTGGGGGAGTTCCAATCCAGTTCAGTTCTGGGATTGCGCCATTAAATTAATAGCTCAGAAGATGTCCCATCAATTCAGCCTCGTGATACCAGTGGTTGATAGTATTCGGCAAGGCCTTTGAGGCAAACAAACATCAATTTTGTGAAAGAATGTTGTTTGGAAGTTTCAATTTTTTTTATCTCAAAACAATTGTTATGAATGAGAAACAGAGCTGAAAGAAAGCTGTTGTGAATGGCACGATTATTCATCTATACTTCACTAAAGGAGCTGACTCCAGAATAACACAATTTTGTTTTACTGTGTGGGTTTGATATATTTTAACTCCTTACAAATGATCAAGGCCGGACTTTAATGGAGAAAGAGTGCGCGCTCGGCCGGCGTTTACATCTGGCAATACAGCTGTTCTTTCATTGATAATGTCCCGTCTACAGCGTGAAGACGGTGGCAGTGAGACTCTCAGCCAGTGGGTAGGATTGGACTGGCTGGCCGGGAAAGCTAAAGGAAAACCACATCGACAGCGAAACACTAAAACCACAGTCTGAAGGGGATCGCCGCTAACCGTGACGGCATGATGCTGAAAACACACTGGCTTACGGAACCAAAACGGTTAAAATACAAGTGCTTACCAAAGTTTGCTCGTATTGGAGCGCCCCCCTGTTTGCCTCGACTCCAGCCATGTCTGAATCTGCCAGGGAAACTCACACTCCGTCAATTTCAGCAGCCCTGTGGAGCGCACCACTTGCCGGGGAGGGAGAGGGGAAACGCTGCCTTGTCAGTCCCCCCAACACAGCCCGGTATGAGAGGGCAGTCAGCCCCGGGCCATAGCTCCTCCTTCACAGTCAGCTCCCTTCACAACAGGCCGCCGCAAGGGGCTGCTGCCGCCACCACCAGTGTGACTGTGAGCGATCCGGAATGAGCCTACCTCACCCCTAGCCTCTTATCATGAAATGAAACACGACAGCACCGAGTTCCGGATATTTATAAGCAGCATTGCAGGAGGGACGTGCTGAGCACTTTGTGGTGGATTGAAGCAGCGCATATTCCCGGGCAATACAGTATAAATGTGTTTGTCATCACATTGTCATGATACCAGTGCATGGATCATTAAACCTGTTTTTTTTTAAAAAAATGTGATCTACTGCCTCTATTGAGAGTGGGGACGGCACGGCGACTTGTACCGCTCGCACTTGTGCTTAAGTCCTGAATTGCAGTGTCTCAGTGTGTTGCTGAGGCGCCTCCAATAATGATCCGACAGGCTGCTGTGTAAAGCAGCATACATCCGTATTTCGTCAAATTGAGCTGATTGACCACAAGCGCTGGATTTAAGGTCGATCCTTGTGACAGTTTCAAACTTGTGTTTTTATTTCAAAAATATACTTTATTCATTAAAATCATCTATAAGTTTATACAATGGTTCTAAATCAGTTCTTTAAAACAAACAGACGATTTGGAATTTTGACATTTCTTCTCTACAGTCACAAAAACAAAGACATTTTCTTGTTCTGCAACTATTTACACTTTGCTCCCTGTCTATTAACCAACTCTCTGTTCATTATCCCAATTTCATTTGCCAATTGGTCCTTTGTGTTACATCTTATCGAATAACTTTGGGAAATCCAGGTATGCTACATTTACTGGTTTTCCTTTATCTACTCTAGTAGTTACATCTTCAAATAGAATCATAGGGTTGAACAGCACAAAACAAACCCTTTCATCCAACTCCATTTTTAAAAAAATCCCTACAGTGTAAAAGAAAGCCATTGAATCCATTGCACTCCTCCAAACAGCATTCCACACAGACGCCCACCACCCCCCCCCCAACCCCCACACCATGCTATCCCTGTAACCCTGCATTTCCCATGGCTAATCCACTTACCCTGCACACATCCCTGGACACTATGGGCAATTGTCATGGCCAATCCACCTTACCTGCACATCTTTGGAGTGTGGGAGAAAACTGGAGCACTAAGAGGGAACCCACACAGACTCAGGAAGAATGTACAAATCCCAGTCACCGAAGGGTGGAATCGAACCTGCCTAGTGGCTGTGAGGCAGCAATGCTAACCACTGAACCATCATCAAACTTTTCAATTATAGTTTTCCTTTCACAAAACCATATTGACACTGTCTGATCACACAATCATTTTCTAAGTGCATTAAGACATTCTGAAGTATTCCTGGAAAAAAATTGTCAAAGCTTTTCATCTTGCACTCATCTGGACAATTCACAAGAAATACCAAGGTAAAGGGGAAACAATCTCCTTTATGCTGTATGAGAAGAAAGTTCTGCTTGGTTGGCAAGTGAATCCTGACTGATACCAGTTAGGTAATGACCAATAGTTAACTACCAAGCTTTGTTTAAAAATAAACTAGGCAGGTGGATTCTGATTGTTTAAGGGCATTGCCTTGAGAAGTGAACCAGAGAATGTTGTCATCAGCTTTGTTGAATTAGAACAGGTGCAGTATGTACATGTGCTTCTTGCTCCACAGTTGTCGAGTATCATCTCTGTACAAGTTGATTAAAAATATCTTTGCAAAGAATAGGGCCCTGTGTACAAGTGTATACATATTGCACAGCGAGCCCAAATGACAATCCTCAATTGGTTGTCAGCACAATCAGAATCATTTTACAAATGTTCAGTCATGAAAAACTTAAGCCAACTGATGTGTAGCTCCTCATTTTCATCATCTTCTTTCTTCAATTCACAATGGAAGACAATTTATCAACAGTTTTCGTTTAAGTTGTACCAAAAATAAATGACTATGAATGCTGAAGTCTTGAACACTGATCTCTAACCTTGAATGTTTGTTTGTCTTTCATTTGCTGTGCTGTGGATAAGTCATAACTCTGTTGGGGTGTCCAGAGGTTATATTAATGCTATCTTAAGAACTTTGTGAAACAATAAAGAGAATAACTCATGCTATTTTTTATTCATTTGTCAGGTGTGGGTTTTGCTGGATGGGCCAGCATTTATTGCCTATCCCTGGGGCTGTTTCTGCTATTGCCTGTTCTGTAGCGTAGGCCGATGCCAAGTGGTCCATCCAGTTTCATTTCTTTGTTGTAACAAATTGTTGTAACAATTGAAGAGTCATCTAGATTTGAGGTGTTGGCTTGCTTTCTCTCCATGGATGCTGCCTGTGATCTCCAGCATTTTTTGTTTTCATTACAGTTGAGTGGCTTGCTAGGCTATTTCAGAAGGCAGTTGAAAGTCAACCACATAGTGGCTCTGGAGCCACATATAGGCCAGCCCAGGTGAGGATGGCAGATTTCCCTCCTTGAAGGACATTGGTGATCCAGATTGGTTTTTCTGACAATTGATAATGGGTTCATGGTCATCAGCAGATCCTCAAATGCAGATTTTTTTTATTGACATCCAGTTTCACTATCTACTGTATCTCTCTAGAACATTAGCTGAGTTTCTGGGTTAATGGACTGGCATTAACATCACCAGGCCATCATCTCCACAGTTAGTGTTATAACTGCTGAGCCACCACCCCATCCCAAGTTTTCTGTAGTTTAAATGAAGAAAATCCAGCATGTCTAGTTCTTTGTGAAATGAGTGTAGATTATAGCAAACTAGTAATGTATTCAGAGTCACACAAAAGTCATATTTAATCAAAAGAATAAATCTTTGATGAAATGTTATTATAGAAATTAGAATTATTCAGAAAATTGGTGGGGCAGTTGTGCTCTGTTAGCTCCAAACAAAGGGCAATGAAACAAGCCTAATATTTATAGCTATTCAGTCGTGTTAGTTTTAAAGGTAAATTCTGATCATGATTACAAAGTTATTTGCATGAGATATGAACTTTAAGACCATGAAGAAGTCCATCACTGATATTCAGGGCATTATCATCACTGAGTAAAAATCAGATAAATGTGAAATTGTCCCGAAAGAGTCATATACTTTGAAGCACACATGCATATTTAAACTCCAAAAGTTTAGAAACAATCAAATCTAATGTGGAAATGGTAAGTGGGTTCAAAGAACCTCTTTTTATTCACATGGGATGTGGGTGTCACTGGCCAGTATCTATTGCCTGTCCCTAACTGCCCTTGAGAAGGTGGTGGGGAGCTGCAATCTTCAACAATTGCAGTCCATGTGTTGTAGATAGACCCAGAATGGCACTAAGTGGGTATTCCAGAGTTTTGAATCAGTCTAATTGATGAGGAATGGCCTCCAGCACCACCCCTACATCCAATGGCAAGTCTCTTGATTGGGCACTAAGTCCCTGACAGTAAGGGGACCCCTCCACGAGATCTCTGGCAATTCTGACAGGTTTTGCTGGGCATCCTTCCACGGAAAACTGTGCTGCCCCCATTTAATCCATGAATCACTTGCAATTTGTAGTGGGCTGACAGCTTATGGTTCATTTAGTTCATTAATTATTCTAGTTGACATCCCACCACTGGCTTAGGATTCCCACTTGTGTTCCTTGAGTCCTGTGATTTAATGGTGAGTGGCTTTCTCACCCTTGTTAGACTGATACAGGGTCTCACCCATGATTAAGTGGGCTCAGAGACCATGGTTCCCGCTCAGCAGGCTATATTAAATCCAGCTCTGTGTCCATCCTTAGACAAGGTGAAGTCAGAAATCAATTGCATTTTCAGCCAGGAGAGAGGAATTATTCGTTCATGTCATGCTGGTAAGTTAACAAAAGAAACTCTTATCTCAGCTCAACAAATAACAGGGCTGTAAAGTATTAAAGCTAGATATAATCTATGATAAGTTTGTTATGTCAATCTGAATGGGCACCATTCATTTTTATTTAAGGTCAAGACATCGAATTTGGACATAGGAATCAAAAAAAATCCAAATCAAAGGATTATAAATTTAGTACTTGATTTCTGAAAGTACTTTGTATTAAATTATTAATAAGGGTTATAAATTCTATATTTTTGTTGTCACCCATTTGAAGAGTGGGAGTGAGGGAGGTTGGTGAAACACTCTAGTCAGTTTCAGTGTAGTTTCAATCTAGGAAAGAGAGGGGTGGGAAATTGATGTGAAGTGGGTCTGAATTTATTTTATGAAAGCATTTTGTTCATTTCTCTGGTATTTTTAAGTATTTCAAAATTTGAAACGATTTAGAAGTGTTTCAAGTACAAGTAGTTACTATAAACATTCTAAAGCACTCGGTTGTTCTGAAAGCTAACTAATGGATATACCTTTGGCCCCACCATCATTAGAGGACGTGGTATCACTGGGAATGATCCTCACTGATGTAGGTAGTCTGGTGAATGGACTAGCAAACCAAGTATATCTGCGTTTTTCAACACGGTCTGGGGCTATTTCCGCTGCTCTACAGTTGAATGTAAAATTCGGCCCAATATTATTGCATCCTGTGACCACCAGGATACAGTACTGCCAGATGAACGATAAGGATTCAGGCCTAGTATTCCCCCTGTCTATAGTTTCTACTTTTTTTTACATTTCCTCACAGTTCATCAAAGGACATGTCATTTCATCGGCCCGGATTTTGTGCTATGCGGGCGGATAAATGTAAATCTCCTGCTCCATGAGTTCAGGCTTTTCCTCGTCATTTTGATTGCTCCTAACACATGAATATCAAATCTTTGAAAGTGGTATGTACTTTAAAGTATAGCAACCCTTTATTTAGCACTCCTAAAGTGTTTCTGAAATAAAAAATAAAGTGCCAAACAAAATATAAAGTGCTGAATGACAGTCACTTTCTCACAGGGGGCTGTGAATGAGAAGGATATTTCCTGCTCCCTTGGACTGAGCCTCCTGCCCCAGGATCGGTATTTTCCTAATCTACCTGTTCAGAGCTGTTACTATAAACCCCTTGATTTGAACCCGGGCATCCCGGCTCAGAACTAGGGACACTACCACGAGAACCCCAAATCGGATTTGATACTGAACTCTAATAATTCTATAAGTGTCACACTTATCTTCGACTACAAAGGCCAAATTGGC